ACCCTTTAATTGTGGTACCTGGTAACTGAGGATTAAGCTGAATTTAACTTTGAAGATAAGAATTGATATTTATATTATGTCAGTGGAAGCAATAGCTGTGTTTTTGACTTGAGGAAATCGCTTAATCTACATAACATGAAAGTTGACCAAAAAGTGTACTCATCCATAAATATTGACTGTTTTAATCTGTTGGAAAAGGAGGGCTAAAGTCGAGGATACAGCAGTAACCTTCTAAAAGGAGTTGGTGAAAAGTAAACGTTATGCAACACGAAAAGAATACCAGGGGGAAAATTGACAGAGAAGAATAACAGGAAGATTAGTCATTTCTGGAAGGAAAAACAGGTGGGGAATGGGGGAAGAAGTATTTTAAACAGGAAGGGGGAACGGGAAGTACCAGTGCTAACAGACAGATAGGAGCTTATTACAGGGCAGAACTGGACTCTAAAAAAAGAAATAGTACTGGTCACATTTAGTTACAACATACAGTGTTTATGTCAATAACAAACAAAAATAAAATGGGGGCATTTTTCTGTTAGGGATTCAGAGAAATAAAAGAAATGATGTTGAAATAAAAGAGTGATATTTACTCCTTGGCCAAACTGACCTGGCTTAGGTCACATAGCAGTGTCCAAGTACCTAAAGAAAATGGATTTCTTTTAAAACAGGCAAACATTCTGCTGTTTTCAAGTGTTAGGTAAAACAAAAACATTCTGGATGTCTTAAAATAAGTGCTACTTCGTTTGAAATAATTTTCACTTATTGTTTACTTATTTGACAACTGAAAAGGCAACAATCTCCAAATACTTTTAAGAATTGTTTCTGTAAATTCTCAAAAATATAAACTTAACTCTATATATCAGATGAAGTATATGTGTGTCACAGTCCCTGTAACAGAAAACAAGAAAGTTAACATCACAAGTGGTGTGTGTGTTGGTAGAATCCTGTTAATCCTTCATTTCTGTTAGGATCATTCATGGAACAGCTTTTGCTGGACACGCTTTCCAATCTCTCTGAATGTTCTTATCTGTCAAAGGGTAATAATAATATATCTGCCTCCAAGTTGTGTAATAAGGATTAGATGAATTGGTAGACACAGACCTGGAAGTGGCATTTTGTCTTTCTGCTTTTAATCCGATATCCAGATATTGAAACAGAGGCTTGTATGGCATTTTCCAACTAACCAACTTGGGAAGATGGATCATTGTAGAAGAAGCTCTTACGGATGCCTTGATGCTTCAAATGTCATATGCTAGGTTACATATGTATCCGTACTTGCCATATAAAACTGTTACTTCTGTTGGTCATCCCTCAGTAACTACAGTAAACAGTAAGTTACATAAAAAGTAGTTTTCAAGAAAGTAGCTATCTCTAAGGTTATATAATCACATCAGGACAAAATTTGTATATTCTCCCATTTAGAAAAAATATAAATGCAGAAAGTATGTATGTATGTTGAAACACATACATACATATGTATTTGGCTTATGTATATAGAAATAAAGATATCAAATTTTAAAAGGTTATCTAACTAATGTAACTTTAGAGACCCAAGACTACTGTTATTTTAGGTAACCACGTGGGACATATTCTATGTCACTTCATTTATAAAAATACGATATGCAGTCAGGTAGGCATTTCCTGATTATGATAAATTGCAATACTTTCATGACTCATGTACACACACTTCCTGAGATAAAGTCTGATTCCAGCACTGAATAACCAGTTTGCACGAACGCCAAATACTACTAAAAAGTTCTCTCTCTTTTTCCCTCACTCACTTTCTCTCCCTTTCTGCCCTTACCCACATGCAGACACTCTTTCCATATACACACTCACCCAGCCTCCCAGGCATGATTTCGTAGGAAATGTTTATTTTCCCAACTACAGAAATTTCCCAACTACAGAAAACAAACCTTATCTCAAACACTGAAAGTCCTTCCTTTTCCTGGTTTGGAAATACTAAGTCATTCTTGGAGATTTTTCTTTAGCCAGCATTTAGGTATATTTCAAGCATAAAAAGTTGTGAGGACAAAATGACTCAGAAATTTGTAATGCACAATTAAAGCTTTCCACTTTTAGGTCACCAGTACATATCTTGCTGACTTGTGTTAGGTGAGGATTGATTACAGTTGGTACGCTGTTTCATTTCCAGAAGAAGCTGCGAGGCTCACTGCAGCTCTCCTGTTTTGATCTGTGTACGGGCTAGAGTTGGTGCTTATTAATATATTTCTTTGCAGATAAAGCCAAGTTCACGGAATTAAATAAAAGAGAGCCGACCTGGTAGGAGTTGATGAATAAGAAGCTGTTAATTTAGTCATCCACAAACATAAATTTATTGTTTGACACCTTTCTAAAAGTAAAGTGTGTTAAAATGATAAGAATCATATTTCTAAGTTTTTAATTGCAGTCATTGACAGCAAGATGTAAGAACTGTAACTTCAATAGATAAGACAAAGAGTCAGAATGACTATATATATATAATATATTTATTTATATTCGTATGAAATTCAGATGACTGCATCAATGAGTCATCATCTTCCTCATCTGTCACTCAGCAGTGCCAAGGTCATAAAGTCATTTGTTATGTTCTGTCTTATGTAAAAGCCCATGGAATTATTTTATTTTTTCCCACCCAAAAAATTCCAGAATCTATTTCTAAAAATTTTGAATAATTTGTTTTAATTCAATGTTAACATTGGACATTGAGATAAATTTAAATCTTGTTGTCAGCGAAGAGAAAAATCAAGCTTATGTGGATACAGTCTATAATTCCAGTTCTTAAGGATTTCTGCAGAGAAGGTAGTTGTCTGAAAATAGGGTAAAGAATCGTCATCTTCCTTCTGTGGAAACTTTTGATTGTAAAAATAATTAGAGTAAATAGGCTCTAATGCATCACCCCAGGCTGTGCCACATGGGTATGTAGATTTCTTCCTGCTAAATGCCACCAAATGGCTGCATTTCTTACAGCTGGTGGCTAAATTCTGGCAGAGGGTAGATACCTTTACCATAACTGTATTTTCTCTCTGAAGTTTTCATGGATTCTTATGGTAATTTATATCAGGTTAAAGCCAAAAAAAAGCTCAAGCTAGCCAAAATTTGTCGAGAGAGTTAGACTTGCTGCCAAATTAATTGGTTGGTCTCAGTATTCTTATTGGTTTCTCAGATTTACACATGGCTCCCTAGATGCTTGATTTGAGCTGTCTGACATTCCCCAGATAGCTTTGTGTCCTTAAGAGCTAATTCAAAGAAGGTCATTTCAGCTGCTCAATATTCAAAGAAGTATCCTGGTCGAAGGTTGGTTGCAGCCAGTGTCTCAAGGGATGAACCTAGAATTTCTGAAGCTTCCTCTGAGCTCACAGTTATTGTCTTGGCCCTACACATGATAACATTTATTTGCCAGCGATGGGAATAAAAATAAATATGACTCTCAGCAGTGGTAATCCCCCCAAAAAGAATGACTGACACTGTGAGGATAATAATGTTACTACTCTGTTATTGCCTCTGAAAATATGATAGGTGGAATAAAGCATGAAACTGAGTTTGTCCTTTTTAAAATCTGAGAATAAAACATTTGTAAATTCCTTAAATTTGTAAGCATCATTAAGAAAAATGATAGAATTATGTGTTGTATGAGCTTATCTACTTGTTAGCTGCTCAGTCGTGTCCGACTCTTTGCGACTCTATGAGCTGTAGCCTGCCAGGCTCCTCTGTCCGTGGAATTCTCCAGTCAAGAATACTGGATTGGGTTGCCATTCCCTTCTCCAGGGCATCTTCCCGACCCAGGGATCGAACCTGGGTCTCCTGCATTGCAGGCAGATTCTTTGCCATCTGAGTCACCAGGGTGTATGACATTATGTACTTCTACCTACGTTTTTGAAAAGGAGCAGGGGTAGAAGATCCTTCTAACCCACCAGGGTTCTGGCCAGAGCTGACCAGTTCTTAAGGATTTCTGCAGAGAAGGTAGTTGTCTGAAAATAGGGTAAAGAATCGTCATCTTCCTTCTGTGGAAACTTTTGATTGTAAAAATAATTAGAGTAAATAGGCTCTAATGCATCACCCCAGGCTGTGCCACATGGGTATGTAGATTTCTTCCTGCTAAATGCCACCAAATGGCTGCATTTCTTAGAGCTGGTGGCTAAATTCTGGCAGAGGGTAGATACCTTTACCATAACTGTATTTTCTCTCTGAAGTTTCTGAGAGACTTTATCTCCTTTATTTAAGAATCTAACATGTTTCAGGAGGCAATAGAGAGTAGGCATAAACCCAGAACCGCTTTAGAAACTACATTCCCTGAATCCAAAGTTCACATTTGCTGTTTACAATTCCTATGACCTTTCGCAACGTCCTTAACATTCTTACCCCCCTAAATAGGAACATATTTACCTTATTGACTTGTTTTGAATCTTGAAGAAGTAAAGGGCTTATGAAATTCTAGGGCACACAATAAGTACCATATACATATGATCTCTTTACCTAAACTTTGTAAACCAGAACTGATGCTGCAGTTTTCACAACATGTTTAAGAGCTCCCGGCCTAGAACTGTCTATAACCTGGGTTCAGTGATCATTTTTGAACCCTGTGACCTTAAACACGTGACATAACTTGACTGAGCCTCAGTTTTCTCGTTTGAAAATGGGGCAGTAGTAATACCTGATTTTGTTACTGTGAAGATTAAATGGGGTAACACATGTAAAGTAATGAATGCTTGGCACTTCTTGGGCATGTGGTATATGTTAATTACTGTTCTGATTTTTACTTTGATGTTTAAGTGAACATGTGAAGTATTGATATATGAGCAACATGTGATACTCAGAATCCGTGTATGTAGGGTTTCAGTTTTGCTAATGAGAATTATTATTATTTACTGTGCAGAGAATACATGTGTTGGTTTTTTTTGTTTTTTTTTTATTAGTTAATTACCTTTTCTTTTTTGGGGGATTATTATTATTTTTTTTTTCGTTTCTTTTTTTTTGGCTTTTTTGGTTTTTTTTAAAAAACCTTAATTTTTTTTTTTATCTGTGAGATTTGAGTGCTGGATAAATTAGTTAAATAAAGTAAATGCTTTGTTAGTGATTTACCTTCTATGTCCAGACATATTCTAGCCACTCATTAAGTTAAGCGCCACTGGGAGGAAAGCAAATCATCAATAACATAAAAATGGGAATGAAAGAGAGAAGCAGAGAAGGCATTGCTTCTTCTGTAAAATAAAGTTCATGAGACCTGATATTTCCCCATCTGTCGGGAGTGTTGTAAAGATTATGAAAACATTAGCGTTTGTAAAATATAACTCTGTGCCAGAAAGGCAAATAGAGTATAATGAAAGAAGCGACCAAAGCTGCATGATGACATTTATTTCATATGGTAACATCCTTTTTTTCATTAACAGGAAATGTTAGGGCAAAGTACCTGCTTCTTAGGAGTGGGAAAGGTAAATGAAAACTGAACAAAGATTCATCAAGTCTTCTTTATGATAACGTAAACCTTTAAGACTGTGTTTTCCATAGAATTAGAAACGTGGAATTTCATAGTAAAAGTATATTTATCACCTTGTTTGGGGAGCAGATTTTAAGCATGATCAGAGGAGAACGCCTGTTTTGACACTCTGTGGGGAAGGTGCGAACATTCGGGCAGACTCTGTCTAGGTGTGGCGTAAACAAGAGTGCTTTGGCTAGCATCCTGCAAGGAGTCGGGTCTAAACGGTCTGCTCCAGCTTCTGCTGCTGCCGCCGCTGCTAATACTGCTGGGAAGGACAAGTGGCTGACCTGGCGTATCCTTCACTCTGGTGCTGCTCCGGTCACTCAGGAAGTGCTGCTTAAGGGAACCTCCGGGATCCTTTTCATGGCACCATGGCAAGAAGAAGCAGTATCTTGTCTGTTGAAGATAAAGCATGGAATTGGCTAATGGACGCTGGTGAGTGAATAAGGCAAGTGGGGAGCCAGTTTACTAAGATAGCTTGTGGGCAGACCCGCTCTTGAGGACTGAGGTGGCGTCCCTGGGAAAATGGCATCTATAATCTGAATCTCAGACCTTTGTTTTAGAAAGAAATCATAGTGTTAACACTGGTGACCTGATCCATGATACCATATATGTTCCATTAATAAAATTCATATTTATTCCCAGCTTGACCACTTGAAATTTCTAATCCTGAAGTTTGTTATCTGTCTCAGTATATGGAGTAGATGTTATTTCTTAGGCCCTATTTAATCTTCATTCTTGTTTTTCACTTGACCCACTGTGATTTTTTTTTTTTAATTAGTTTTCAGTATATGAAAGAAATTATTTTTCCTTTCAAATCTAAATGAGCCACTCCTTTTTTCAACACAATAAGAATATAGAATTTTAAATTAAGAGACTATATATTACACATAATTCTTGCTAGGAATATTCTTTTCAATTCAAGATAATTATGTAAGGAAATTAGTAAGATGCTGTTCACATTAGTCAGATAGTTGCTCGGGATGAATCTTTGACATTAGCAATAAAGAAATTTCATTGCTAATGTATTTAATTGCCAATATAAGATAGTTTCCTTGAGCGAGCTTCTTGATGGGTAAAATGAATAATTGAATGAGCCCCGTTCCAGACCTCTTACCTGGAAAATTCCATGGATGGAGGCACCTGCTAGGCTATACAGCCCATGGGATTGCAGAGAGTCTCACACAACTAAGAAACTTCACTTCTCATCTCGGTTTTTCTCACTCTAAGATTTTCTCACCCTAAAATTTCCTTTCCCCAAAGCAGAGTCCCATTTTTGATAATCCTGCTATGAGATTTGAAGTACATATGTATCTCTTCCATCTTGTAATTTATATCAGAGGTGAATATGTGCCAATTAATTAATAGTTTACCTGTATCTTTCATGAAAAGATTGGAAGATACAGAAATACCAGGTTTTTCATAGCAGTGTAGACCAAGTTTTTCCAGAATAATTAATCTATGATTAATAGGTATTTTTAAAAACTTTGACAGTCAAATTTAGGAATTTTCTCAGAGCATAGTAAAGGCCCTGACAAGCCATGACTTTAATGTCATTTCAATTTTTAAGAACTCTATTTGACCATAACTGCCACTCCCCCATCATCTATGCTTCTTTGAGAAGTGCCTTTTCACAAGTGGCAGGACTATTCAGCCAATAAATATATATGGAGCACCTACTGAAGGAACTAGCTGCCCACTCCAGCGTTCTTGCCTGGAGAAGTCCATGGATGGAGGAGCCTGGTGGGCTGCAGACCATGGGATCACGAAGAGTCGTCAATGACTGAGGACTAACACACGACACCTATTGTGTTCCCAGGGTATCCAGGTGCAGGGATACACCTGTAAGCACCTTTGTCAAAAATGTCTTCCTTTGTGATGCTTACCAGTGGAGAAACAAACATTGGTTTAGATTATCTAATCATACTACTTACCATGTTTATTTTTGAAAAGCCACTACCAACTTTCCTATTTTCACTGACAATCCTGACATACTATTCTTGTCTGAAGAGCTTATAATTGAATGGACTGTACTATTTTAATTGGCGACATTAATTCAGTTTCTTGTCCTCTCTTCCACATTTTTTATTTGTATGTTTTAGTTTTTGTTGTTTAGATTATTGAAATTGATTTTCATGAGAGGGATTGAGAAAAGAGGTCAGAAAACAAACTGTAATTGATTTTTAAATATTTTATTTAAAGTCAGACTTACTACATTGAAAAAAAAGTCAGCTTCCATTTGGTTTCCACCGTAGGGACTCACTTCATCTTTTCTTATGCAAACCTATCATATTGACATGATTGTGTCTTAAAAAAATTAAGCTTTAGTTCAAACAAACATCTGTCTCCACTTAGGCACTGTTTATACAATAAAAGTATTTTTAAAGGGAAATTCATATTCCTCATCCTCTTACACAATCTCAGTTCTCCCAAATTTAAAATACTAGCTGCCTGGGCAGTACTTACTATTTTGTAGTATAAGGATTATTTCATTTTATAAAGATATCTGACCTTAGTGACTTACTGGACATAAGTTTTGCCCAAGCAAGTGCTGCTTTTATTGCATGTTATTAACATAATATATATGACATAACCACATGTATATGAGGCTGGGGATGGAAGTCAGCCTTTCCCAGCACACAGTAATTGAGTTATTTGACACCAAGTAAATAGATTATTATTACTCTTCTAGATAACTTGGACTTAAAGTTATATACACACACACACACACACATATATATATAAGCAAATACCCAAAGTAAAAATTAAACACATAGAACTTACATTAGGCAGTAGTATTTCTTTTCATTTAATTCTAAAACAATATAAAATATTATGCATGGTTAATTTGCTTCTCGTCTTGAGAAACTGACAGTTCCTAAATGAGTCTGATTGTTTTAATTTTGATTCATATTAGGGATTATTAAAGTTCTATCAGAGTTTATATTTAGTCTCTAGCTTGATTTTATCCAGCTCATTAAAGCAAAATTGTCTTAGGGTCTGTCTCTTGTAGCTGTTTAATATTTAACATTCACTGGGCTCCTCAAGATAAGTTCCTGAAGGTTTGTGAGCAGTTGAAGAGCTGTGAATAGTGGTTAACAAGCCATAGGTGTCTCCATGGAAAATAGAATATTGTGAAGCCCAGATTTAGGAGAATCTCAGTGAGTAGTTATCCGACAAAGCATTAAAAACTGCTGAGTTAAGCTCATTTTTCTTTCTGCCTCCTCTTTTTTCTCTTTTTTGCATCTCTGCCTCATCTCTGAACACTCTTTGTTCACTTCTTTTTCTTTTTATTCTTCTTATCTCATTGAATTCCTTCAGTCTCCCTCATCTGATCATAATAGGAAGTTTTGTGTTTGATGAAACATGTTGTATTTAAGAAGGAGTTTTAATGGTTTCTCAATTTAAAAAATCAACTGGGTTTAACCTTCCTGCCGTCTTCTCATTTTCTCCTCTCGTAGTGGATAACTTTGCGTTTTAATCTCTGTAGTCTTGTGGATCAGCGCCCTGTGACTTTTTTGTATTTGTAAATTCCCTTATCTTAGTATACATGTTATAATAATGTGATTTAGGAATTTTATGCCACTTACTAGATTTTTAACCTCAATTCCAGTAGGCATACTATAATGTGTCTTCCTTGCTTTTCTTTCTAGAACTAGAGCGCCGTCTGCCCCTCAGCTGTGTTTTGGCTGTGTGTGGGATGCTGGGAAGGCCTGTCCGCGTGTGTTTCGTTGCACCTCGCCCTTGCTTCTTCGCGTTCTGTTGGTGAATTTGGGTGGTTCTTTGCAGGCGCTGCTTGAGTCTGCGCTACTTGTCCCCGTCCCCTTGCTCCCTGAGGGTCGTGCTGGGGGTCGTGTCTCCACCTCCTTGGCCCTGTCCCTTGACAGACCCTTGGGCCCCCCGATGGCTGCCTCCGAACCCCCGTGAGGGCGGGGATATCCCTTCCCTGCTGCTACAACTGAGCGCCCTGCGCCGGGTACCACGTGGCCCTCCACACCTGCTTTCGTCGTTAAGGCTTCCCAGGCTTTGGCTGTGGCTCAGTGATGCTGCCGTCAGCACCCTCAAGCTTTCCTAGCCTCGGCTCTCAGTGGTAGCAGCAGGTGTTGGGATCTCTCCAAGCCCCTAAGGCCCTGGGAGCAAGAGAATGGCCGCTTGACATAGACCTCAGGAGTTTTCAAAGCACCAAGAAACCTCTGCAGAAGATACGTAAAGGTAAGATTCTGATTTCTCCAGGAAGCTGCTCTGGATGCTGAACAACCTGCAGCTGTTAACTTAATGTAGACTCCATAGGTAGGCTGTCCTTGGGCAGCTCTGAATCTGATGATAGAACCAAAGTAAAACACTTCTGTTAGGAATTTGGTGTGATAGTCACATTTCTGTTTGATTTTATTTAGACTAAACTTGACGCTGAATAGATTTTTAAAAAATACTTTTTCCATCCTTTGAAGTGGAATTTGTGAAGGACCGTTTTGGCTTTGTGTATCTTGTCAGAGAATCTTGTTGAGAGTGGAAACAGTTAAAAATAAAATAGAAAATATCTATTTTTCAAATGCCTGTATTTTATTTACCTCTCCCTTCATGTTGAAAACCAGAAACATGAAATGGTTATTTCTTCACATTCTTCAAACTCAAATTCCGAAGTCCGTAATTAATTCAGAAGGAATGAGAAGGGCAGCTCAGTTCATGGTGGTGCCAGGATACATTATTGTCCTTTGTCAAAATTTACTGCTTGTTGTTCTAAATGTAGCAGTCTCTTTTCTTTGAGAATTTAATTTCGTGTTTTTTTTCTTTTTTAAGATATTATTTTCCTGCCTGTATTTCTTGGGGGAAGATTTTTGTTCCATTTACATGTAAAATTCTGGATTAAGAATCCTTGTGGGGGTGTGTGAGGGATGAGACAGGCCACAGCAGCGTGTTGGAGTGAATGGCGCAAATCATCTCTTCAGCATTATCGCTTTTTTGGCAGCTGTTACTTATTTATAGGCTTTATTCTTTATTTTGCCTCCATTCATGGACATTATTCTGGAAAGTGTTATTAAGACACTTCTAATATGAGGTTGTTGGCGGCCTTACTGTCAGTTCATGCCTTCTTTTCTGCTCCCTTTGTTTTCTTCTCAATAAGGACTTAATCTTTTAATTGATTCCCTGTAGTTGGAATCAAGGCTATTATTAGCTTACTGTCACACTGAAACACTTTTCTCTCAATAACCAAAAATGTTACAGACTTTAAAAATGAAAAAGAAGTTTTGACCAATAGCTGTACAAAATGAATTAGAGGACTTATCTTTGATGGTGCTATTTTAGCATGTGTATTTTTAAAACTAAAAGATGTTCAACGAAGTATTTTATTTACAATTGAAAATATTCAAGTTTTAGTCCCTCTAGACTTTGAAGCATAAGGAAATGGAATGTTCTGCTGTCTTTCTAGTGCATCTAATTGAGTAATTAATTTCACATGTAAAAATAGAAAAGGGAGATTTTAATCCTTTGATTCTTAACATTTATAATGAGTTTGCAGTTTTAAAAAATGTATGGCACCGTAGAAGTTAGGAGTTTGCATTATTCTCAAGTTTGCTTGTAGAATGCTTTATTTCTGTTTTATTATCTAGAATTCTTATATTCTACTGGAACACGAAATGAAACAGAATATACATATAAAATTATATATATGTATAAATTTTTTAAGTGATTTAATTAAGTGAAGACAGAGTGATAGATTGTACTTATGGACATTTGTAAAATGTTCTTACAATTTTAAAATTACTTTAAAAGCGTTTTTAGTGGAACATAATCAATTAGTGATGTTCATTGTATTTAATGTTTTATGAAGAAAGTAACTGCATGTAAGCAGGACACAATATAGTAATATTTAGAATGTAGCAGTTGCTTTTTTAAGGCATACAGAAAGGTACAAGATATCACATATCAGTGGTGTCATTAAGATCTTAGTGGTTAGCTGCATAGAATAAATAATAGTAATAAATAAATTGAATAAATTATAGAATGACTATTTTGGAGATAAGGAAACAAGGACCAATAATTCATAATTTCTTAGCTCAGAGACAAGACCAGAATCCAAGTCACTGAATTCTAACCAAATGCACTTCTTTGTATGTGATCTGTTTCTTAAAGTTACAGTACATTTGAAGGGCCAGAGCAATGTCGGCAGAGCAATGAATGGATTCTAGGACTAGAAGAGATTTTTTTCAGTATTTAGAGTTTCTGAGCATGGCTCATAAACCTGATTTCACTTCTCCAGTGTAGCATGACTGGGGCCTTTAGAATTTCTTTTTTATTTCTGCTTTGTTTAGTGTGGCTTTCATTGTATTAAGAGTTTGGAAAGCACACTGGAAGGATCATTGAAATATTTTTGTTTAATGAGAGTGTAGAACTTCTGCCATCCCATTTATTTCAGTTTATGATCCATAAATTTGACAATCTTCCAAAAATTTAAATTCTCAAAGTTGAAAAGATTAGACCTGTATGCAACTGCAGGCAGTATATTTTCTATTTCTAAGCAGAAATTTTAATTGACTTCCCTCATTTCCAAAATTAAAAAAATTATTCAGTTTGCAACTTTCAAGGTATCTATTTATGGTACCATATGGTGGGGAGAATGCACAGTCTCTGTAATACAGTAATTGTATTTGTGTGAAATTATTTGATATATTTATTAATTAAATGCATTCTGGTTGCCTGACTTGAAATTATTACTTCAAAATTCAAATTCTCCCTGATTTTACCACACTGCTGTCAGCACTTGGGGTTTACCAGGTGCCTCAGTGGTAAAGAATCCGCCTGCTGATGCAGGAGACATGGGTTTGATCCCTGAGTCAGGAAGACCCCCCCTGATAGAGGGCATGGCAACCCAACCCACTCCAGTATTCTTGCCTGAAGAATCCCATGGACAGAGGAGTCTGGCAGTCCATGGGGTTGCAAAGAGTTGGACATGTGTGCATGCGCACGCGCACACACACACACAATATTATCACTTAGTAGGACCTTGCTTAGGCTCTTTTACTATGATTCTTGGGGAAGTATAATTGTAATCCAATCCTTTTGCTTGATGTCCAAGATGCTCACTATCCAAGACAGACCTAGGGGGAAAATGTGTGCAAAACTAAGACTATAAACTCTGATTTCTCCTTTAAGAAATTTCAATTTAAAAATTACTTAAGTGCTAGAGTATTTTGGAACAGAAACTTACAACGCTTACTTTGGAAAAAAGTATGAAGTACTTATTCACTGAAAGTGTTAAAAGTCTTAGGCTAGTTCAAAAACTAAGGTCTGCTTAATGCCAATCATAATGATCCCTGAGTATTTACACTGTCGCTCAGCTCATAAGACTCACGCCTCTCAATTTCCACTGGTTTCTACTTTCCATCTCTTCCTTGTGCCTTCTTGGAGAGTATGAGAGTTGTGCAGAATCGTGGGCTATGAGCAGAACATTTATAATTGACACTGAGAAATGTCAAATGTACGTAAGTCATTTATGATCTATTTCCTGTTATAACAAATAAATCAAAGTTCCCAGCCTTGTTAGACATTTCTCTGTAGAGAAGAAAGAAGAAAACAGAGCTGAACTTGGTTCAAGCAAATGAAAGAAAGGCCAGATCTAGGGACGGTCTCAGACACTGACATTTTTTATACTTTAGGGGTGTTTTTACACTCCCCTAAAAAGTTCAGTATCCCTTTTTGTCGTGTGGAAATGAAAGCTTATTAAATTATTCAAGGTTAAGATATGTCTTTAATTGTAATTTATTGACTACCTACTACTTCTGGTCATTACAATAATTATCTCATTTATTCTTCGCAGAAACACCCGGAAGTGTGTAGTACTACTTTACCTTTACAAATGAGGAAACAGGCTAAGAGAAGTTGAGTAATCTGCTCAGGATACCATAACTGGACCCAGGGATTCCAACTCAGGTCATATGGCTCCAGTGTCCGTACTCAGAGATCCTATTAATTGTAAATTCTGGCAGTGAGTGCTAGTTCCCAAATTCAGTCCTGCCTATGTTTATGACCTAGTGCCATGAAGGTGCTCCTTTTTAAGTCCCCTCCCAACTCAGTCTAGGCTGCCGGTCATCACTGGCTATTTGAGCTTGAAGAGGTGACTTACTATCCTCTTTTAGTCATAGTCCCACTTGCTCTGAAATAGGAGTAATATTATCTCCTTGTCTTTTTATGAAAATTTAGTTCAATTTGATGAGAGTGTATGCCAAGCACTCAGCACAGTGGCTAGCATATAGAAAATAGCTATTGAATTGTTGATGCTATCATGTAATTTTCTCAAGGTCACACAACTAAAAAGTGATTGAGTCGGAATTCAGACCCAAGTTTGTAAGACCGAAAAACTAAACAAGAACATGTACACACATACACACTTTCCACAAAGCAACATCAATAACAACAGGATAACAAACGCAGAGCAAAAACTCATGTTTTCTTCAAACTCTGATGCCTCTTGTGCCTAACCATACCTTTGATGATGATTGAATCATCACGTCCTGAATGCTGTTGGGAAAAGTAGCATGGTTTAGTGGCTCGGGCGCAACTAGAAGGAAGGCTTTCAAAAACTGGAATTCTAGCTCCATTGTTTGCAAATTATTTGGTATTGGGCAAATTACATAACCCGCCTACAGCTCTTGATCTAAATGTGAAGCTAATAATAGTACCTGTTATATTGGGTACAATGGCAAAAAGTTATGTAAATTAAATAACTCCTTTAATAAATGACTTTCATTAATAATTAATTGAGATGTTCATATTTCTTTTAAAATATGGTATGTTCACAGAATGAGATGCATGGTTATGAAAATCCGAGATGGGTTGGATCCTGGTAATTATATGATCTGCCATTCTTCAAGAATCAATATGTTTTCACTGTCAGTAGCAGGCCCGTAGAGAGGATGGGGGAAAGTCATCAAAGATCAGAACTGACCCAAATGTGGAGTGGTTTTGCCATCAGGAAGGTGGGTGAACTGCTCTCAATTGGTGATATTAGTGACTGGTATCATGGCCACCAGCTGATGGGAATATGTGGGCACAGTCTGGTTAAGCAGGTGATAGGTAGTAACAGTGTTCTTTCCCTTTTGAAACAATACAAAGCAGCAGGTGGGGTTAAGTCCTGGAGAGAGAGAGTGTTAACTTGGACTGAGCATCAGAGGTTAGCCTTGAACACTCGTCAGAGCAGGGACTTCTGCTCACAT